GGAAATCCGGGGTGGCAAGGGAGAGTGTGCTGTCACATTATAGGGATAGCAACTAAGGTCACATAACAACGTGTGTATAAATTTTTGTACAAGAAACTAACTTGAGCTGTAAACTTTCACTTAAAGTACAATAAAATAATAAAAAAGTAAATTAAAGTAAGTTAAAAATCACAAATTTCTTCTGTTTTCGTGTGTGTGTGTTTATAAATACACATACATTCACAAATATTTCTTGGGTGCCTATATTATAGCGATTAAAAACACGGACTCTAGAACCATACTACCAGGGTTTGCATCCCTATTTTGCTGCTAACTACGAGACCTTGTACATGTCACTAAACTGATCTATAAAATGGAGTTAACAATTTCATAGAGTTGCTATTAGAACTAAAAGTGGTGGGGATTCCGTAGTGGATAAAATAGACTAAAATCCCTTTTTTCAAGGTGCCTACAACGTAGTGTGGGGAGTCCCTAGGCTGTAACTTTTGAGGTTCAAGTCCACCCAGAGGCACCTCAAAAGAATGGCCTGGTGACCTGCTTCCCGAAAACCAGCCACTGAAAACCCTATCGAGCACAGTTTTACTCTGACACACAGGAATCAGAATCAACTCAACAGCAACTGGTGGCTTTACAATATAGTAGAAAGAGAGAGGCAATATACAATAAGTAAGTAAAATATATATTATGTTGGGTGATGCAGCACACTGGGGGAAAAAAGACAAGTGTGCTGATTAAATTAGCAAGCAATTACCTATATTCACATGTTGTTGTCATGTGCCATCGAGTTGGTTCCAACCATAGCGACCCTATAGGACAGAGCAGAACTGCCCCCGTAGGGTTTCCAAAGAGCAGCTGGCAGATTCAAACTGCTGACCTTTTGGTTAGCAGCCAAGTTCTCAACCACTGCCGCCAGGGCTCTATATTCACATATTAATATCAAAAGTAATACCATTTCACGTAAGAGTGAAATATAATGTTTATAATGTAATTTGTACCTTTTCTCTCTCAATTTTGTCTGTTTAGCTCATTTCCAGGGTGGCACAGTGCAAACAATCAACTGTATGGCTAGAACCAAATTCTAATCCTAGCCTTGAACAAGTCATTTAATTCCCAGAGCCTCTTTTTCAAAACTATAAATTGGAAATCAATACTTCTGTTTCCACAGGCTTATTATGAGGATTAAATTTAAATGAGATACTATAAAGCATGATGAAGAAAAGATATTACAGTTTCAAAATCTCTCTCCAAAAGATACTAATTAATTACAATGAGAAAAAGAGTTGCTTTCCTGGGGAGAAATCTGGCAGATATTCCCCTCCTTAACCAAGTAATTAAAATTATCACCAGTAATGAGACATAGTGACATCATATGTCTCCTCATGATGCACTTTGAAAGGTACATTTCTGTAGCAGTCTTCCAAAAATGCATAACTTAAATTTATTGATGAAGAAATATACGATAAGCCCAAATCAAAGGACATTCTACAATAAGTGCCCAGTACTCTTCAAATTTGAAAAGAGGTCTCAAATCAATGACCTCAGCTTCTACCTTAAGAAACCAGATGAAGAACAAATTAAACCCAAAATAAGCAGAAGAAAGGAAATAAAAGATCAGAGTGGAAACCAATGAAATATAAAAAAGAGAAAAATCTATGAAACTAGAAGGTGGTTCTTTTAGAAGGTCAGTGAAATTGATAAAAATTTAGACTCATCAGGCAGAGAGAAGACACCAATTACCAATATCAGGAAAGATGTGACATCACTACAGATTAGACATATTAAAAAGAGAAGGGAATTATTATGAACTTTATGCCAACAAATTTGTTAACTTTTAGATGAAATGGATAAATTCTCTGAAAGACACAAACCAAAGTGTACCCAAGAAGAAACAGATAATCTATACAGCACTATATCTATTTAAAAATTTATAATTTTTATTTAAAAACCTTCCTACAAAGAAAACTCCAAGCCCAGATGGCTTCACTGGTAAAGTCTACCAAACACTTAAGGAAGAAATAATAACAATTCTACACAAACTCTTCCAGAAATTCATGAGAGGGAACGCTTCTCAACTCATTCTACGAGGGCAGCATTACCCTAATACCAAAACCAGAAACATTTTAAGAAAACTACAGAGCAATATCCCTCATGAAAATAGATTCAATCAAATGCAATACAAAATATTAACAGATTAAAAAAAGAAAAACTGTATGATCATCTCAAGATGCAGAAGAAGCATTTGACAAAATCCAATATCCATTCTGATTAAAAACGTTCTGCATACTAGAATAGAAAAAAACTATAATAAAGAGCACCCATTTTGGAAAATGTTATGGTGCTTCCTCATAAAGCTAGAAATAGACATACCATACGATCCAGCAATCCCACTCCTAGGAATATATCCTAGACAAATAAGAGTCATCACTCGAATAGACACCTGCACACCTATGTTCATGGCAGCGTTGTTCACAATAGCAAAACGATGGAAACAACCTAGATGCCCATCAACAGATGAATGGATAAACAAACTATGGTACATACACACAATGGAGTACTAT